GAGAGCCTGTCAGTCCCTTCATCTGAACTATGGGCACTGTATGTTTCATCCATCGCCAGCACAATTGCCAGATGTAAGCATCATTGAACCCCTCTGTTCAGTTTAGGAGACTGGAGTGAGGAACAGATTCCCACCTCCAACATCTCTAAAACAACTTGAAAATGTTCTTCAAGAAGAATGGTATAGAATTCCACTAGAGACTGTTCAAAACTTGTACGAGTCCATTCCAAGAAGAATTGCATCTGTATTGAAAGCAAAGGTAGTGCAACACCGTATTAGTAAAGAAATGTATACAGTGTCCATATTTTTCCCATTATTTGTTCCAACTCTTGTACATTCATACAAGTATTATAGTAAGTGTCCCTTCTGCTTCTCATTACAAATGACAGGAAAAGGCTATTCTGACTGAGGATTTAATAGTTTCCCCACTTCTACAAGATATATATTTACGTATGTTACAGTCGTTTTCTTCTGCATATTTCCTACAAGACCACCAATCATAATCCTCACATACTAAATGATATCTGTTGTGAATTAATTGAGCAGATGTATTTGCTTCTACATTGCTTAACATATCAACAGCCACATTTTGACTGAAGAATTATATATTTCTTTTCTTACACTTTTAAAACATGTAGATTCAGATTTTTTAAATCTTGTTTTGCTATGATTTCTCTTCCTCAACAGTTTCAGCTTTATTCAAAGTTTCTGTTAATACACAACCTGGTCTCTTGACATTTAGTGAAGAACACAGAGACAGCGGTGTCTGAGAACAGTGCCGTGGAGAATATTTGAACTTAAGATGGGTGAAATAATCTGTAATTGGCCTTGCGGCTGTTGACTCGGCACATTAATAAAAAAGAATTGAATTGAATTGAATAATAAGAGGCTGGTGAAAACTGCATATTGGGCATAACACATTCCATTCTTCACTAAATACGAGTAGGATGATTAACCCAAGGAGGACAAGGTGGGCAGGGAAGCCAGAAGGGAAGAGACTATGAGAAATAACCTAGGCATTTATGGAAGAATAATATTAAAGTGTATCCCAGGGAAATAGGATGGGATGGAATGGACTAGATTCATGTGGTTCAGGATAGGGACCAGTGGCAGGCTCTGGTGAGCACAGTAATGAATGTTTGGGTTCCATGAAATGTAGGGAAATTGTTTAGTAGTGGAATGACTATGGGCTTATCAAAAAGGACTTGGCTCCATGGAGCCAGCTACAGAAATTCCTATTTTCAGGGATGCTGACCAAATTAAGACACATGTATCAATTAAGTTGTAGGGTAAGGGATAAAAATAAAACATCTATATTTAGGAACAATTTGACAGGTGAAACTGTCTTTTATTATCACAGGAGACCTACACAGACAGTGGAAGATTACTGATTGCTGGGCTAATGATGCTTGTTTACTGGAGAGTTATTCAGAATGAAGTGGGAAGTAAAAATGATGATAACCATATATAAGATATAAGAACCTCAGGTAACCTAACCTCTTGATAAAGATGTATTATCTATCTTGTAAGAATATTGTGAGGCATATGTATGTTGTGAGTGATATATAAACCATGACCGCATGCCTCAAAATACCCAGTACCCAAGACCCAAGGAAACAGGAAAAGGGCTTTCTCTTTCTCTTCATTATTATCCACTTCTTTCCCATCTGCTCTTTCTTCTTATCCTTTATCTCTTCTCCATTATCTTCTCTGCCTTTCCTTATCTTCCTACTCCATTATCTCCTGAATTTGCCTCACCACCTTCTCCTCCTTTCTTTCTGATGCTCCTTGATATCATCATCATCATCATCATCATCATCTTTTCCTTTTCCTCATCCTTTCTTAAATGTCCTCACCTGCGCCATCATATGTTCAAGGTTTGAAACAAAAGACAGTTACCTAGAAGTTACCATCTATATTATCTATGTGAAACTTGCAGCTCTGTGCATGCTATGAGGGTAAGTCAAATGGATATAGAACTTAAACAAATAAGAGTACTGATTTGAAAAATGCTTTTATTTCTCAACATAATCTCCTTGTAGACCCTGTTATATTTTCAGGAGGTTTATTGGTGGTAGGATTTAAACTTCTGTGGTCATTCGTTTAAATTCATCAAGTGTGCCTTATATTATCAGTATTGTAACCCACAAAAGGCCAAAAGGATTTCAAGAATGATGTATTTAGTGATGTGACTTGTTCAAGTGTTAATGTTGTGGCAGTTATGAATGCCAAATAAAAATGAAATGAAACTACCCCAGGTAGCTTTGTCGGGATTCCTCCATCCTCTAGATAGAACAGTGGTCCATTGTATATGTTGAATATGAAGCTAGTATTATTAGCCATATTATTTGTCACATGATGTACACAGGAATTATTTTATTTGGGGTGGTTTTATCTGTATGTGATATGCATTTGGAAAAATATATGTAGTTTTTAAAGAGGCTAATGAATTTTTATTCCTTGCATATTACTTTTTGGGTAGGGAATATTTTATTAGGCCTCTGTAGGCATGGCCTGAGCAGTTAGGTTAAAGTTTATGTGCACATTTAGTACATGGGAAAGCAAAGTAAGGAATATATTGTAACAAGATAAGGTCCTCAAATCAGACTTTTTCACTTGTACAGAATGTCATGTCGCTTATTTAATCATCATCAGGAAATTGGGGATTTTAAATGTCTGATGCTACGGGAATTGTGACCGAATTGTTATTTGAAAGTTAGAGTATTAGTGCAAGAAATTAGACACATGCGAGTTTCAAATTTTTTAGATCAAATTGAGAAAAGATCTTCTTTCAGACATCGATTTTTCAATCTCTGTTTTAAGAATTTGCAAATAACAGATTTTGCTTTGCATAGTAGCAGGCACAGTACCTGATCCACCAGAATCATAAGGGTTGGCAACACTAGCATTAATTAACAAAATCGGTCCATGTTTCCCTTTTTCTGTTCATGGTGAAAAAAGATGTGACTCTAGAATTAATTTTGTATAAATACAATAATTTATTAAAACATTTCACTGAAAGAGTGTTGTGTCTAAAGGGGTAAGTAGTACACTCGAGTGTGTTCTAGAAAAGTGGCTAGTGTTTAAAATTGTGATTACTGGGAAAAAAAAAAACCTAGCAGAGAAAATTATAATTTTAATTTAGAGAATGTTTACAAATTCTTGTTTTGACCTAAAACTATGCTCACACATGGCTAAAAAATTAGCTTTCCGCCAGGTGGACCAAGTGAATGCACTGGTAAAGTAGCCTAATTCATGGCCCGTAATGGCTGACATTATGAGCTTCACTGTGGATGAGATGTTATTAGTGTGTCCACGGTCTGGTGCTGCTGCAGTTCTTGTCTCTTCTTGCCTGTTGTTCTGTATAGTATACTCTTAAAATATTTATTGTTTTAATAGTATGGTACCATAGTGTATCCAGACAGCTTTTAAGTTCTTAGTTCCGTGTTTACTGATAATAAAGTTCGTTGCTGGTATTCAGATGTGATTAGAGAGGAGGTAATGTTTTTTAAAATTTCTGTACAAAGATAATAGACTCAAAACTTAGGTTAAATTTCCTCTCTTTCATAGAAGACGGTATGTACTATTACACTGTACAACTGGGTACAACCAGAGAAATGCTGACAGTAAACTAATGACATGAGCAGTGATGTATAGCTTGAAACTAATATTTTCTCATTACTGTGAAATAATAATAACCCAATATTAATTTTTTTTTGGGGGGGGGCTGTATATAATGTTCTTACTATCCACAATCCTTTTATTATATATAATGTTATTAACATTTCTTTTATATTGATAGTTGGGTGGGACTAAGTCCCTTGTACTGCAGCCATTTCTGGCCTATTGTACCAGACCCAGATGATAGGTGAGGGTCATTGTGGAGCAATTGGTGGAATGAAGATTGGCAGGGGAAACCGAAGTACTCGGAGAAAACCTGCCCCAGCGCAAGTTTGTCCACCACAAATCCCACTTGACCAGACCCGGCATCGAACCCAGGCCGCCGCGGTGGGAAACCAGTGACTAGCTGCTTGAGCTATGGCACTGCCATGTTATTAACATAATTAAGACTCAGCTTATATAACATTCATTTTAATTTAATTGAATGTTTTTAAGTAAAAGAGAATTTTGAGCACTTGTCTATCAGCCTGAGGCATACTGAAGTTGCAGTTCATGCATATTATCTTTCATCATCCACTTAATTCACCTTCTGGGTTCCCTGATCCTGATATATTGAAATTAATATTTGGCCCAACTTTGCTTTGACATGCACAAGCTTGCCAATATTGTAATAATGTAGCGATTATTAATAAACAGTTTAATGGATATACATTCTTAGAGTTTCATAGACAGAATGTGGCAATTAGATTAGTTTGATCGTGCAACAGGATGCAGTCTATAAAGAAAGGTTTGTAATAGCATATGGAATATGTTTATAAAATCATTGGTCTTACATGAAATTAAACACAAGTCTCCTGTGCAAAGCCATGAGGTGCTGCACTGAAGAGCAAGTATTAGCAGAATAGTAATGGGGATAAAACTGTGCTGTATAAAGCTGTTAGTCTGTATGCTAGGACTTGAGAGGGTAAGTCAGGCACTTTAATGAACACACTGTGGAGGTAGCACAAGATAGTCTACTACTACTTTACACTAGTAAAGACAACACCACACGTTGAGAAGGAAACACAAACCAGGGGAAAATAACTAACATGAGGAACAAGCTGCCAAGGAAAACGTCTTATATTTTACGGAAATGACGACACCCTGAGTGAAGCAAAACAATAAGTAACAAATTATAAAAGAATTTTATATTATTTAATTAAAAAGATGACAACAACGTGTGGTTTTTTAAAATGAATTGGAACAGTGAAACAGTGTAGCGGTTTTAACACAATTTCGACACAATCTTAATTGAATATCTGTAAAAAAACACCTGAAGATGGCCGTTTGAGGCCGAAACATGTAGTGTTAGAGAGTGTATCGAAGTGTAAAATAAAAAGTGTTGCAATTTTGCCGGATTATAGACAAATGGACGCTAATGTGAACAATTGCAACAGGATGCTGAAATACAGAAACAAGATAGAAAAATGAACAACTAAAAGTAGATGAATAATTTTAAATTTACTTGGTGAGAATGAGTTCAGAGAATGAAATATGATTAGTGAGTTTTTTATTGGTTGTTTTCAAAGTATAAGTACTTTGTTTTTTAGTTGGTTTGGCTTGAAAATGGTCAAGTTCAGGCTATAAAGGTGTATGGGGAATGGAGGTATAATTCCACATATTCATAACTACTGGATTAGATGGAGCTGAGTGGTCAGTTTTACTGCCTGTCTGCTTTACCTTTGCATCCTGATTGCGCTCAATTTATCACTGAAGATGGAGGCACCACATTCCTCTAAAATGTTGGTCTCCAACTAATACTGAAAGGTTTGTCAACACAGGAGGCCACATTCTGAACACTCATCTGCTAGGAAAATCAGAACGTTTATAATAGGTACAGTATTTTTTAAATATGGGAGAAATAACATCATGAACATATTGGAATTGTTATGCTATGCATATATTTCCTAAATTGAATTATATTCACATACATTATGCAGAATGACACAGCTCTAATGTATGTGTAATCTGCATTCTAGTTGTGAAACTTACTGTAAGCCCTAGCAATACATGTGTTATTTCATTAAACAGCAGCTTTCTTATTTTGTGTAATTGGTTCTAGTTTCAGCACTCAGACCATTGCTTGAAGTGAAAATGGAAGTAAATCTTGTATAGTATATATATGTAGTTTTTTTATGTTTTCTGTTAAAAAGATAGGTCTGTCTGTATGCAACCTATGATATACAGTGAGTATAGAATATCCTGTATCTAAAATTACAATGTTGAAATATTATTGAATTATTTTTTTTATTTAAAATGCAGTCCTGTGTATAAATTCCCATATATGTTACTGAAATGGTGAAGTGTCTTTTTATCTCTTTATATGAATATCTTGGTCGCTGGTCCCAATGTACAGAATGGAGATGCAGTGTTAGTGTGTGTACATTTGCAGCAGGTGGGTTGAGTGAAATTATATGATTCTTAGAATAAACAACGATTATTTCCCTAAACAGCATTAACCGGTTTTATCTGTATTGGCGATGCAGTGTGTTATTTTGTGAGGCAGAATCGATCATCTATATATACTATTTAGATGAACTTCAGGCTTCAAAGGGTTAAAACCTGAAGATTCATCACAGCTAACAATAGTGGTGCATTAATGTGAAAGCTACATTTACTAAGCTTCGTTAACTTATTGTATATTAAAAGCATATCTGACATGGGCACAGTAAAAGGCCAAAAGGTACTTAAGAAATCTGATTCAATATTTTCCCGGTGGGTATAGCATTTTTGGCATTTAAGGGCTCATAGGATTCCAAAGGCATGAAGTATGCCATTGACAGAATGTCTAAAGTGTTCAGTGTACTGAAGATGTGCAGCAGTAGTGTGCATATCATGAATATCAATTATTTTTTCTAGTATTTCAGACTGTAAAACATTATTTCTGGACAGGAACAGCTTAAATAATTTTAGTATAATGTTGATTTTTGTCAATTTTAAGAAAGCCGCTGTACCCATGTTCCAAAGAATGAAATTAAGAATTGTTGCTGTATTGCAGAAACGTTATCTACATTTCTGCTATATGGAAGGAGGAAATATTTAATTAGTTTTTACATATACATGCTTTAATGTTGCTGTAGATTTATTTGTGATAATAACAATTCATATATTAACATGTGTTCTATGTTTTGGGATTTTATATATATCTTATTGTGCTCTTAATATATTGATTTTCTGGTATGCTGTTATAATGAATCACCTCTCTTGTTTGTTGCCATGGAAACTCAAAAGTCAGCAAGCATCATATGTACAGAGTGGTGCAGATACTAAGCAAGAGGGGGGAAAGAAAGATTGTGAGTGAATATATTTAAGATACTAAAACATAGTGATTGCAAAGAACGTGAAATAATAATGTAGTTACATATATCCAGCTTTTTTTTTGTATTATTTGCAATATATATGAACAGGTTCTGAATAGGCAGGGAGTAGATTTGTGATGATGGGGTTACATTTTTAACAATTTATTTTAAGAGTTACAGAATTCTGAAGTGATGTTTCTATTTGTCAAACAAATGACTTTCAGTTAAATAATCATCAAATATAAAACAGATTTTATGAACTCTTATCAGAATACCACATATTAGTATACTAATTAGATTCTGCATGGAAAGAAAAGACATCAAGAGAGGAACATAGACCTAGGGTGTTTGAGAACAGGGTGCTAAGGAGAATATTTGGAGCAAAGAGGGATGAAGTGACAGGAGGTTGGAGAAAACTACATAATGAAGGGCTTTGTAAATTGTACTCTTCATCAAGTATAATTTAGAATGATGTTAAGGAGGATGAGATGGGCAGGGCATGTAGGGGAGAAGAGGAATTTATGTAGCAGTTTGGTGGGAAAGCCAGAAGGAGAGAATCACTACGAAGACCTAGATGTAGATGGAAAGAAAATATTAAAGTGGAAACATTCGTAGTCTAGACACAACCCAACAGGAGGATCTTTATGGTATGCATCCTGTTGTGTGTCATATCATAAATGGGGCCGCCTACACAACAATAATATCTACGAATGTGAATAGTGATGCATTAGTATAGATTTGTCTTTGTTTACACGTGTAGATATTGTTGTGTAGACAGCCCCATTTGTGATATCAGCAGGAAGAGCTACCCAGCACCGTGGAATACAAGAATGCATAGATGGGACTACACATCAAATATTAGAACCGCAAAACATAAGAACAGCAGTTTTCACCAACAATTTTAAACACATGATGACCATTGTCAGTCGAAACATGTAGTGCAATGTACAAAAACTTCAAAATAAATTTCAGAAAGATGCATTGCACATAAGATTGTGAATCAGTGATGTTCATTGAATAATAAATGATGTATAGTAGGATAAAATTTATTTTATTAAAATGGATCTTAGATAGGATGGGGTGGCATGGAATGAATTGATCTGGCTCAGGGTAGGGACAAATGAAGGACTACTGTGAACACAGTAATGAACCTTCAGGTTCCATGAAATGTTGGGAAATACTTCAGTAGCCAAGCAACTGGCAGCTTCTCAAGAAGGGCTCAGCTCCATGGAGTTAGTTTAGTTAGAGTAAAGAAAATATATCAGAATAGTTACATGTGATGAATTTTTAGCCTGCTTTGCTTTGCTTGCATTTTGTGCAATGATCTAAGAAGTGCTTGACATCAGATTGTTTCATGTAAAATGCAAAGTATACGTGATACCATGGTGACTGCATGAAATCCACATTTATTTGTACCATTTCTCTGACAATAACTGATTAACCATTATATATGAAGGGGGACCCAAAAATAACCGGAAACGACCTGTTGTGCGCGCATGCTTTGTAGTTACGAGTTGTGCTGCTAGGTGGTGTTAGCTGGGGGTCTCCCGCGACTGTTAGTGAGCTGGCGTCAGTCTGAGTTAAGTGGTTTGTCTGTGGTGCTCTGTTGTGTGTGTTCCTGTTTCAACCCTTTGGCGATTAGTGAGATGGCCGACCAGAAGGAACAAAGAGTGTGCGTGAAATTTTGCTTTCTGTTAGGGAAAACTGCAGCTCACTCTTCAAGTTGCGGCAAACATTCACGGGGTTTTCTCTTTGGTCATCTCCGAGCAAGCGAGGAACAAATTTTGCAGACACCCGTCTCATGTGCAAACCTTCGGTTAAAATTCGCTGGACCGTGCTCCATGAGATGTTCGTTTCCTCAGAAAGTTGGTCAATGGTTTTCGACGATCTTCATCAATTTCACGCACACTCTTTGTTCCTTCTGGTCGGCCATCTCACTAATCGCCAAAGGGTTGAAACAGGAACGCACACAACAGAGCACCACAGACAAACCACTTAACTCAGACTGACGCCAGCTCACCAGTCGCGGCAGACCCCCAGCTAACACCACCTAGCAGCACAACTCCTAACTACAAAGCATGCGTGCGCAACAGGTCGTTTCCGGTTATTTTTGGGTCCCCCCTCGTATAGTACAGTGATACATCATAAATAAAATACACACATTTTTATGAAACGTTCTTTGTTCATTGTAAATTATGATGGCTCAGAACTTCAAGAGACTGGAAACTTTCTGGTATCAAAGATCTACACCAACTGAAATTTTACACAAAGGCAGCTAACTTGCATACATAGTGTATGTCCACTAGAAAACAGACATCAACTCTTCTTGCAAAAATAGGGTGAAGTTATCCCTGTGCATAATTAAACAACACATCATGAAAATATATGGAAGAGGGGAAGTATAGCCCTATGCATTTTTAACCTTGCCACTAGATTGAGGCGAATGGTCAGCTTCGTACCTCATCTGCTTTACCTCCAGTACCCATTAGATAGGTGGCTGGGTGGGTCCCAAATCCAGTGTGAATGCTCTGAAGGCAAGAATAAATAATTTTTATATGTCATTAATTTAGTATAATTTCTCATATTTCAATTAAGTATTGTGCAAGGCAAAGGGAGAATTCTGAATAGTTCGTAACAGTGACACACAGAAATTGTTCATTAATTGTGGAAAACGATAAGGGGTAGACAAAAAAATATACAAATGACATTCAAATGTAGCCAGAATATTTGGTTATAGGGTGTTACGTTTTGACTTCTGAGATATAGTGCCTGCTAATGTCTATTGTATCTTATGGATTGTTCTAGAAGAATGAAAATGCACATGTATGATAGCTTCAAGCATTTCTGTGATGAGTACAGCAACATTCTGGTGGGTGGTTCTGAGCCTGCTTGTTTATGTCAAAACAGACTTTCATTATGCAGAACAGAAATACTTGATTGCCATTAGACTAGTATGATGGGTCTGAGAGTAAAGCACAGTGCATGGAAGTTTTTAAAGTTCAGAAATAGATCACCTTGAGCAGCAGGGTGAAATAAAATTTTGCTGGTGATTTGGAAATTCTTTGACCCAAACAGTGCAGATGTTTTGGATGGTGTGTTGTCAACATATGATGTTCCATTTCAAGGTGTTTAAGTGGTTTTACAGGGTTAAGGTTAGTCAGAAATTAGAAGACTGTGTGTAGTGGACAGCCTGCATCATTGAAGAGAAAAGATAATGTGAGATAGGTCCAATAAGTTGTGCCCTTTGTCCATCTTCAGACAGGGACAATTGCAAAGAAGTCAGGATATAAGATGTATCACATCTGCCCTGACATTGCAACAGGAATCTTGTTGCAGGAACAGTGTAGCAACTGTTGAGGACCTTTGGTTGAGCTTATCAACACAGCAGATGATGGGCAAAACTTTATCACAAAGACCATCACAGGTGATGAAATCTATTAGTTCATGTTTTTCCTAAAGTAAATAATCATGACCAAGAATGTGAAGATCTGGAAAGATCACATGAAAAGGAAGTTCGTTTTGAACCTTGTTTTCACTGGCAAAGTTTTATGCACCTCAAGTTTGTTCCTGAGTATACACTGGTGAGCAGGGTGAGGTACATAGAGGCTCTTGTTCATCTGCAGGAAGTAGTTTGCTAGAGGCATCCTGAAATGTGGATGGCCAAAAACTGGGTATTTGTGCATGATGATCCCCTGGCACCATAAGTTGCTATTTGTGTGACAGAAACTGTTGAGTATGGTATTGTGATACATCATGACACAGCAGTGTCTAACTCTTATGCTGTGCAATGCTTACTTCGCTCAGTAACAGAATAGCAGACGGGCTGTTACTTCAAGGATGTAACAGAGGTGAGAATTTCTTTGAAGATCATATTTCAAGAAGCCATGGATAAAGGATTGCAGAAATGTTTTGACTGACTGTATGAGTATTGGCAGAAGTTTATAGCTGCCGAAGGGTAATATTTTGAAGGTCACTGCATCTCATGGTTTCTTAATGCTGTTGAATTTGAGACACGGCTCATTTTCAGGAAATTTTTGAAGTTACCATCTACAGTTTTGTTGAGGTTAAGAAAATATGGATCTATACATCGACTTCCCCATACACCTTCATGGCATAATGCTTAATTGACTAAGCACAGGAACAACTTTACATTTTTTTTAACATGTACAACTACCATCATCATCATCATCATCATCATCTTCAGCAAAACAGCTCTTTTTGAGCCATAGCTTTCCTTAGAAGATTCTGCCAGATTGCATTCTGTTTTCACTTCTTTGGATTTTGCAACTTTTTTTTTTCACTGAGCAAGGTTGTCAGCCTGGTGCCCAACCCCCTTCCTGAAAAACCAGGTCTCTATATTTATGTCACCCAGTGACAGGGTGGCCCAGTTATATCCCTAGGCACTGGATTCACTTTTTGTTGCTTTCAGTGACTCCCATGGCTATGGTGGAGGTATTTTAGCTCCCCTCCACACAGGAGCCACGTAAAACTATAGAAATAGTTAAGCATATGCACTTCTGAATACATATTATATTGCTCACATACAGAACAGTCACATTCTATATCTGAGAGAAGGATAATATAAAGGAAAACAAAATGTCGAAGAAAGACAAGAAGGCTGGAAAGAAAGGAGGAAAGAAGAAAGAAGAGCCACAGGAGACAGATATGATGACAGAGGTGGAGAAAGAAATGTTTCAAATCCAGATAAGTGATTTGCTACAGAAGGTTGAAAGGTAAGTATAAATATTTTGGCACATTAGTCTCTAGAGGCCACATTTCCTGTAGGATGATAGTACCAGACGTCATCAACTGGACGACATGAACTGTAAGCAGTAATTTGCTGTTTTGATAAATGCAATGAAACTATAAATTATTGTACTGTATTTTAATGTTTCAGATATGGAAATATAATTATGGTTTTAATTTATTAAAAAATAAGTAATGTAATAGTAAAAACTTTCATTTTCTTTTAATAAAGTTTCACACCACAAAGCAGGCCTAATGGTCAAAATATAGAAGGTTTGTTATCATTCAATGAATGGATTACTTCTTGCATTAGAAGGTCACTTTCTAAATAGAATATATGAAGAGCAGTAATGACATGTGTAAAATTAGGCTGTGGCATATTTTAAAGAACTTGTTCAGGTTAGAGAAATCGTCATATTCAGGATTTGAACTAAATACCTGCTGAATGCAAAGCAGGAGCAATAACAGCACATATGTACATGCAAGCACACAGTTAACATTTCTTAAATCCAGGATGTCAGATGACAATAGGATATGGAATAAGTTATAACGATGGAACATGTACAGTGTGTACAGACATATTATACGGTTATAAAATAACTAAACTGTAACCTTACCATAGATTATAAATTGTTTTTCACCATTAAATATTCATCAGCAAAATGAAAAGACTATGTACAGGGTGATTCAGAAAGATGGACACAATTTCAATTGGCTATATTTCCTGAATTATATGTTGCATTTTAATTCTGTAAATTACATTTGATTATACACACATGGAAGTTTATAGATGTTCAATGTGCCCCCCTCCGGCTGCATGGATAACATCTAGACGTTAGCTGAATTCATCTCACACTCAATGACAGATATCTTGCGCCACTGAGTTCACCGCAGCTGTGATACGGTTTCTTACGTCATTCAAATTTGTGGGAAGAGTCCTATGTAAACTGCATCTTTCACGAATCCCCACAAGAAAAAGTCGCAGGGTGTGAGATCAGGAGACCTCGGTGCCCCGAACCGAAGTGCCAGGTCTTCATTCCCCATGCGACCTATCCATCGTTGAGGTAGAGATTCATTCTGGAAACGTCGAACATTCAGGTGCCAATGGGGTGGAGCTCCGTCCTGCTGGAAAATGTAATCTCCTGAATCTTCATTCATTTGAGGAACAAGCCAGTTTTGCAGACACTACTCCAGTAACAGTTTTTTCATCAAAAAAGAAAGGTCCTTAAACCTTTGTTAACGATATTGCACAGAACACAATAACTTCCGGGCTCCCCCTCACATATTCGAGTGTTACACGGGGATTTTATAGCCCCCATATGCGAACATTGTGCCCGTTGACTTTCCCACTTAGGTGAAACGTAGCTTCATCGCTAAAAATTACACGAGGCAGAAACAATTGATCTTCCATGTTTCTGAGCATACGGTCGCAAAATTCTACACGCTTTACCTTACCGTTTGCGCGAAGAGACTGTACCAGTTGTAGGTGGTATGGTTTGTACACTAACCGGCGCCTCAATACACGCCAGACANCCTTTGTTAACGATATTGCACAGAACACAATAACTTCCGGGCTCCCCCTCACATATTCGAGTGTTACACGGGGATTTTATAGCCCCCATATGCGAACATTGTGCCCGTTGACTTTCCCACTTAGGTGAAACGTAGCTTCATCGCTAAAAATTACACGAGGCAGAAACAATTGATCTTCCATGTTTCTGAGCATACGGTCGCAAAATTCTACACGCTTTACCTTACCGTTTGCGCGAAGAGACTGTACCAGTTGTAGGTGGTATGGTTTGTACACTAACCGGCGCCTCAATACACGCCAGACAGTTGTTTGCGATAGTCCAAGTTCTCTACCAGCACTACGGGTTGACTTCATTTGGCTACGCTCAAAGCTCACTCGAATGCGCTCCACATCCTCCTCCGATACACGCGATCGGCCCGGGCTTTTACCCTTACACAGAGAGCCAGTTTCATCAAATTGTTAATTCCAACGATAAATGCTCTTCCTCGTTGGAGGTTGGATGTTAAACTTACGACGAAATGCACACTGCACCCAGTCGCAGACTCACTTTTACTGAACTCACGAATGCAAAAATTCTTGTGTTGCATAGTAGCCATCTCGCTTACAACTGGCGCGGTGCTGGAGTGCTCTAGCGATAATATTAGAAACTTTACAACATCCTCTTTTAAATGTACTTTACAGAATTCAAATGCAACATATAGTTCAGGAAATATAAGCAATTCAAATTGTGTCCATCTTTCTGAATCACTCCGTATTTAAGTATTTGCTAATGCAAATTTAAATTCCCAGTTTTTATTCACCACATTTCCTGACTGATGTAGGCAGAATGTTTTATTGAAACTTGTCTGCCCAGTAAAATGCATTCTTTTTTAAGTTGTGTATACATTAATAAAGAAAGTATTATACACATTATACATAAGAGACAATTGACATATATATTCATGGTTTACATTTGGTAACTGAGACTGGATAGTGGGTTGTAATTTGGCAAATATTTATTCACACGAAGTGGACCTGTCACAATGCAAGGTGTTATCTTTTAGGATAAAAACAAGATGCTTGGAACTGGAAATGAGCAATGAAGAATACCAGAAGAAGTATGAGCAGCTGGATGAAGACAGAGCTGACATTATTGCATACCTCAAGAGGATGGTACAAAAGAAAGAAAATGAGATTACAGAATTGAAAGAACGGTTAGAAGGACTTCAGAAGGTACAGGATATGTCGTTCCAACATAATGTGTCACTTTTCTTTCCTTTGCTGTATAAAATTTGTTATGAAAAGAAGGGTAATGAACTGGGAAGGTGAAGTATTTTAGAATCCCTGAAGTATGCAGAAGGAGAAGAAGAGGTGTCTATAATAAGTGTACAGTAATATGAGATATTTGAAGGTTAAGAACGTTTAGTGCTCCACCCTATGAATACTTTTAAATGATGACTGAAATAGAACATTGTGTCAGAAAATAGATGTTGATTGCCAGAAAAATTCTACAAAATTTTCCTTTCCACTAGCAATATGCCTTACATGTCATATTTTTTATGCAGACTCTGGAGCAAGATAGAGGGATGTACAAGGAGAAGATTGAGAACTTGGAACATGAATTTAAAATCATGCATGAGCAACTGACTTCTGAAATCAAACTCCTCAGTAAGTAATTTCTATAACTTGCATTACCATTAAACATACATAATACCCAAAATAAAGTGCATATCTACCGAACTGCATAGTGTCACATCCTAATCCTCAAGGTAAAGGTAAAGGTAAAGGTAAAGGTAAAGTCCCTTGTGCTTAACTAATTAAGCACTACGCCATAAAGGAATTTGGGGGAGTGGATGTTAGATCCACATTTTCTTGATCTTGGCACTAGTTGGAGGTGAGTGGTCAGCTTCACGCCCTGGACACTTTAACCCGTGGGAAAGAGCCACCAGTACCCATTGGATATGAGGTTTGGTGGATACCAGAGCTGGTCTGGATGATATGGAGAAGAGAAAATTCTTGAAACTACCACGACTTGAACTCCGACCCCTAGTTCATCCAGCTCATAGCCAGTCACTATCCAAGCTCCCCAACTGACAGGTAATTTGTCAAAATTTTGCGGAAAGTGTGCCAGGTGAGAAGCAGATTGCATGTACAGGAACCGATATCTGGATGTAGGCCGCACCAGAGCTCAAGCGGTTAGTTGCTGGGTTCCCACCACAGCAGCCCGGGTTCAATCCCGGGTCTGGTCAAGTGGGATTTCTAGTGGACAAAGTGGCGCTGGGGCGGGTTTTCTCTGAGTACTTTGGTTTCCCCTGCCAATCTTCATTCCACCAAATTCTCCATCATAATCACCCAGGACAGGCTACAATAGGCCAATCAGTGGCTGCCATGCCGAGTGGACCCAGTTGGACTCCATCCCCCACTAAGCGAATTAAAAAAATGGATGTAGTTATTATAGGATTCTGACGATGGTGTATAACACACTGATATATTGGGTTTTTGGACTTCATCCGTCGTCCTGGTATTTAAGATAACTAATAAAAACACGATGTTTCGGAAACTGGATCTGTTTCCGTCCTCAGGTGAAGGAAAACACCTATTCTGTTGTGTCTGTTAGAAAGAGCTAGATAACTAATAAAAACACGACGTTTCGGAAACTGGATCTGTTTCCATCCTCAGGTGAAGGAAAACACCTATTCTGTTGGGTCCGTTAGAAAGAGATAGATGACTAATAAAAACAGGACGTTTCGGAAAC